AAGACAACATGTTAGTGATGTCCCACATGCTACTGCCAGCATTTAGGCTAATGTTAGCAGTTTGGCTCATTTTAACTTGTACACTAATTTCAACATACTGAATTGTATAAGTCCATGTTACTCAGCATGCTTGTGACTCTCCACATGCTCTTTAGTACATTGCAGCTTACTTTAGTATTGATGCTAATTTGTAGCATCAGAACGCTGGGTTCCAACCGACGGGCACACTTTGGCAGGCCCCGTTTAAATTTCTTCAAAAATTTTGTAGTTTTAGGAGCTACTTCTCAGTGCAACGCTGGTAAAAATATTGTTAAAAGTGTTGATAGAGGAGCCATGTTGGGATGACTTCCTGAAGGCGGAGTGTCAGAAATAGCAAGATTTTCTTAAAGAGACAGGCCCACTTTCAAGGTGTCAAATTGCAAAGTCAAATTTCTTTTAATTCATATTTTATACATACAGCAATTTTCTACCAAAAAATTAAGGTGACACAGTTACTTGATTGTGCTATAAAGTGCCACTGTGTGTATAGAAAATACATACTACCCCTTTAGAAAATATAAAAACTAATTGGGTTCCATCTATATTCCATATGTGGCACTTTAACGTTTTATGTTTTTGCTCCGGTTGCTCCACCCACCCTCTGCTGACACAGACACGTCACATCTGGAGGCCATATTTGTTATGAAAGCTGTAAATCTCATCACTTCCTCTGCTGTTTCTGTCACAGATAGCTGTTAGAAAGAGTTAAGTAGCTCATTAATAACCATCAATAAAATGACTGCTACAATCAGCTGTGTATTATTAATCACTGTAAATAAATGAACTGACAGAAAATTATGTTGTTCCTTCTAGAAGCAGAAATGATTTCCGGACATTAGAGCTTCTCCAACTTTTAACTGTAGAACTGAGGCACCAGTCGGTTTATGACCCATTAAGTGGATCCTGAGCTCAACTGGTTGATTTTTTAATTTTTTTCTTGCCAGTAAAATCAACTTTAAAGTCTACTTTTCATGCTCTTGCTACATGTATCCTTTCAAATGCTCAAATGCATGAACA